TTTTAAATTGAGCTCTTGGGAGGGACCTGGTCCCGTAGCCCCATTGTGTATACTACTCTCATTGATGAAACCAAAACTGCCCCGATAACAAGTCTTGTTGGCCTTACTTTTCTGCCGAGGAAAACACATAACATGTGTGCCCAAAAAAGATTGGATAAGTCTAGGGTCCATAACCAATCAGAAATATGGCAACACACCCTGCCTCGATACCAAAAGTAGCATCATGGCTTTTGCAGTAGGCGAGTTTGAGAACTTGGGTAGGAAGTTTCAAGGGGAAGTGTACACAAAAATTAACCTTTTTGTCTTCCACTTTTTCATCATAAGAAATGTTTGTCAAGTAGTTTTATAGCTGGGGTTAAAGTGTTGCTTGTGATGCCAATACCCGGGTTCGATTCCCCAGTGGGTACAATGTGTGAAGCCCATTTCTGGTGTCCCCACCGTGATATTTTTGGAATATTGGTAAAAGCAGTGTAAAATTTAATAGTTAAACGAGACTTACCTTAGTAAGGTGAAGTGTGACTGTAATTCTATCAACCAGTCAGGAGTGATAAGGAGGTAACATGAGATTGCGTGTTGCACGAGCAGACATCAGGTTTTAACGATGTTAAACAGATTCCAACACCTCCAATAACTGTTAAATTCTATCAACCCGTGATAAGTCACGTGATAAGTCGGTCCCATGAGATTTCAACAGGAAACTGCATAACATCACACACATACACAAACACAAAACTGGACATTCTGTGGCTCCATAACAAAGTAAAACATCATCAACCTTTCCAAAGAAATATTTAATCCTCAAGGCAAGAAAACAGTCTGTTCTCAAACCCATGACAAAACTGGGTAAAACAGTCCAAAAATTCAAAAATCATTCAGTATGCAAATACATATTTGAATACAAATAAAAAATCCTACCTGAACCACCCTGTGCTCACCCATGGATATCACCTTGGAAACACAACCAGAACATACTCGTACCACCAGATACCTTGATCCCAGCAAGAACACCCCCATTCAACTGCCTATCTAAACTAAGTTCAACAGAGTAGATGAAAAGTCACACCGCTGTATGTCGAACGACATACCACTGGAAACCACCGTGACAGGCACGAAATTACCCGAACTCGTTTCGTATCGCGAACTGTGCATTCATCTCGATCAGCTGAGCACGACCGACAACGTTCAAGGCGAACGACCTTCCACACTGCTAAGAGCCGTGCCGGTGAAAACGGAAATGTACAACGACGGCAGAACCGAATTGTTTTCGTTGCAGCATTACAATAAATTAATCCGAGGCAACATCACAGTATTGTAAATATCGGTTTTAGACGTTAAACACAATCCCGTAAGTATAGGATATCTTAGCGTGATGCTGCACATACGACAATGACGTAGTCTCATGGTCCAGGAACACGCGTTAGAAAATGCGCCAGCATAGCGATCTCCGACCTCGGGGACACGTGTGGATTCGATGAACCTGGAGTCGACAGCAAACTGTATGCCTTGCAACTGAAAATCAGCTTCCACCCTTTACTGCCGCTGGTGTTGGTGGTGGCAACGACCTAGGCGAATTCGTCGATACCGAAGGAGCGGTCAACAACACGCGATACGACCTGATCCCCAACGACGGGGACGAATGGATGATAACCCCAGTGTTCCGCAGCAGGCTGTTCCACCTGGACGACGTCGAGACCACATCCGTCTCCACAAACACGCAGTACACTCTCATCTTCAACAACGACAACAAATGGGTATTAGTGCCATCCCAAATCGACTGGAATCCCAACATCACGCTCGATATTTAAACACGAAGAAATTAGACTTCTAGCCGAAGCGAAGTTAAACACGATAGACGATCATATTTCCACTGCGCTCACCAACTCTAATATCTCCGAGGAAGAGTTTTGTTTGGTGCTATCAGAAATCGCAAAATATCACAGAATGAAACGAGATTCGGACCAAGTCTCCTAAAAACGACATCATCAGCAAAGACGAGAAAAAAAAATTCATAGAACAAGGGAAGCAACAGGCCCGACAAGCTTTCCTTACGAAAACCAAACAAATTATTATCTGAGAAGATTCATGATAAATTACTTCGCTGACATCAACATCATAGCCGAGGCTGAGTGAGCACCCTTGATGATGTTAACGGTGTGAATAAATGAGTAAACACAGTTCACTCAATTTTAACAATGTAATCAGTTAGATGATGTACATAAGTATCAAACAGCTTCATTTGCAATGGTGGGTTCGATTCACACATGGGTACAATGCATGAAGCCCATGTCTGGTATTGCTGGAATATTTGCTAAAAGTGGCTCACTCACCTAACAGTCGTGGTGGTTGTAACAATAGGTAAAGATAGAAAGGTTAAAATAGAAAGACAAAAAGTAGCAAAACATCCCTGGTAGCCACAATTCCCCTAGGGTGAAGTAGAAAGATGAAGGTTGCGCAACTTCTCCCTAGGGGACTTATGTGTCGGCTAAATTTCTCTCACCACCAGAGTGCCCCAATTCAGCTGAGAGCAGCTGATGTGATCCGGATTCCTTGCTACCACCAACGAAACACACGAAAGTTGCAAGGAATCCACTGAGGCAATGCTGGGATACAAACAGACAATGCATAGCTGTGCAACTACACATCCTAAGTCCGCACCTCAACCGATCACGCTACCAGGGACTTGATAGTTACATTTCGGTTTAACAGGTCTATCCTGAGATTGCATCCTCCTCCTAATCTGGGTTCCGTCTATAGGAACGCAAAGGATGTCTTGAACCCGTTTTATAAGCTGAGCGCACCAGACTTCTAGAAACAGTTTATCACAAATTCTACTTCCGCTTCACAGTTTGGTGGCTTTTTACCTCAAATAAAATACAAACACGATATTCCCTGGGAGTTTTAAACATGCTGAACACGACAAACGGGTCAATGGATGCTGAATTTTTTTTTAGAAACCACAATCTATTATTGAATTGCATGTCTAAGCTGAGCTCTGTCTATAATAACACAAATCAGTCAGTTCATTTCCGCCTTCTCGCTTCGAAAATGTTAGAAGGCTTTTCACCTCAAAAAAGGTCTAATAAAATACAAAAACGATGCTGGTTGGTAGTCTAAACACTGCTGAACACAATAAATGTATTGATGGATGCTGAAAAATCAGCTTAGAAGATGCATAAGCTATTTATAGTTTCAATACACTGACGCTAGCAGAGCCAGTCTGCTGGTGTAGAGGATACTGAGTTCAAAACCCTCCCGTTGTCATAGAAAACTTTTTTGTTTTGAAAAACAAACATTTCAACCTACCAACTCCATGCTCACTTAAAAGTCAAATATTCAACTGATTTTCGTCAGTATCTCAGTATTAGTATACACAATGGGGCAATGGGATTAGGGACTTCCCAAAGGCTCAATTTTTTATTTTATTTTTAAATTGAGTTCTTGGGAGGGACCTGGTCCCGTAGCCCCATTGTGTATACTACTCCCATTGATGAAACCAAAACTGCCCCGATAACAAGTCTTGCTGGCCTTACTTTTCTGCCGAGGAAAGCACATAACATGTGTGCCCAAAAAAGATTGGATAAGTCTAGGGTTCATAACCAATCAGAAATATCGCAACACACCCTGCCTCGATACCAAAAGTAGCATCATGGCTTTTGCAGTAGGCGAGTTTGAGAACTTGGGTAGGAAGTTTAAAGGGGAAGTGTACACAAAAATTAACCTTTTTGTCTTCCACTTTTTCATCATAAGAAATGTTTGTCAAGTAGTTTTATAGCCCAAACAATACAGATATCAGAAGTAACTAATACATTATTGCATTATATCAATTCAAAGTTTCCACATTAACAGAATGTTCTATTTCCACAATGAACACACCATGGCTTATGTCCCTTGGAAATGACGTAATTGGTGCCCAAATGATAAACGAATGACATCGTTAAACCTTACTAGTACCATAATATGCACTACATCTAGCGTGCCATCGGTGAATGTGAAGGCATTCTATGTTTGGTACATTCCTACATTTAAATCGTACAAAATATGTCACTTTGATGTCGAAATCATATCCAAATACATCAGCCAAAGATACAATTCGCAGTTTTGAATTCTGTTTGAAATTTCTATGATATCATCCGCTCATAGCAGGGAAAAGTTTGTGAAAATTACATGAATCTTAAATCCAGCCAGTCTTGACACTAAATCACAATTTATTGCGTTTTTCGTAATTCTTACTTTAAATGTCGAATTTTACTGGGAGAATTATTTCTTTTGAAAAAAAAAAATATCCCATATAATTGTGATCACCGGTATCTGTTGTTGTTTGATGGAATCACCAATTCTGAAACATCGTCGATGAACCGAGAATTGCTTTGAATATTTTGGAAAATACACAAAACGTTGTTCGAAGTGAACTTTCAGACAGTGTTTATAGAATTATGTCACACGTATGTCAGTTATGTTTTGCCCATTACATCACAACTATTATTCAAAACCATCTTCCTTACATGAATCCTTTGTCATCCCATCGGAATTTAAGATAATTCGAAAAAATTATGAACACTGATCGAATAGTACGCATCCTTTAAGTCAATACTCGTCATGTAGCAAGCAGGTTGCATTAAATTCAAGGCATGATCTAGACTCTCCTTTTTAAAATGAACATATTCAACTTCCTCATTCAATTTTGAAAAATTTAGAATCAAACGATAAGAACCGTTGGACTTTTGATGAAGGAAAACATTTGAGACGTATTGATCAATCTCCTCCTCTGATTGTTCAATAATATTCCGATGTTCAAAATCAGAGATAATATCACACATAGCCTGACGTTCCTTGCCTGTTAAATTGATTACCTTTGGTTCTACCAGTTGTTCAGGTTTTCCATGTGAAAAATCTATTTTCATGCCAGATATTATGTTCAAAACATGTCTGTCAATCGTGATTTTTCGCCATGCGTCCAAACACCCAGCCAGTATACCTGCACTATGGTCTAAAACCGAACCATGATCAGAAATCACTTCATGCTCACCTACATCATTTGTCTTGACTTCCCTCGACCTCGGTCGTTCCTCCTGGGATATCGTCCCCGTCCTAAAAAAGGGTGGGTAACACCACGGCCTCTACCACGTGTGTAGCCGCCATATTGTTGATATGGATGAAACTGGGATCCTCTTCTCACAAAAGAGGCCCTCTGTCCAACTCGATGCACCGCACCAATATCTTTCAATTGTTTCACTACATCCTCTCCAAACAATAACTCCAGAGTCGATTCCGACGAAATGGAACAAATCGTTCTAAATTCTGGTTTCAACTCGCCCTTGAGTTCATCTTTACGTCACGTGACAAGATCCCTGTTACAACTGAAATCATCATCCTCAACAAGAGAAACAACGGGTGCGCTATTCGGATCGTCATTCAATGACTGAAACGGATCGGCACACGACCGAAAATCATTGCTAGCATTCTCAAAACCTTCCTCGTCAAATTTGTCACCATCGCCTCATAGCCGGGATAATCATAGTCCTCATAAGAACAATTTTGAGTTTGGTCACATACCAACTGGACAGATTCCTGTATGTTTGAAAATCCTTTGTTCACGCTAGAATCATGTTTCGTAACTCACCAAATAATAACGCCAAGTCATTAGAGTTACTGCTAGAGGGCTGTGTTTCCGGAGGGATAGACGAGGTATTTTCTGGCTTTTTAATCGACTTAGCTTTAGATTTACCCCTCTCTTTAAATTTCTCCACCAAGGAGGACTGCTCAGCAGTGTCCGCCATGTTGAACGACACCAACTATCACAAATGTAGTTTGTGACTTGCTCCCAAAGGACGAACTCAACAAAAAACCACAAGTACGCTCCCGCAGGACGTAACAATAGCAAATAATATACTCCAAACCCCCCAGTCTGAAGAGGTAAGGAAATAAATAAACTCGCAAAGACAAATCTTTACGAGAGCCACAAAGATGTGTGTGTACCCGATGCTGTTGGAACAAGCACTGATGTCTGCTCGTGCAACACGCAATCTCATGGGACCGACTTATCACGTGACTGGGTTGATAGAACTCAACTCATTCAGTAACACTCTTGCTGTTGCATTAAGAACTGAAAGTTAAGACTTGCAGGGCCACTGAGAGTTACATTACCATAGCTGCTCACTACATCAAACCAGAATGGAAGCTTATGAACAATGTACCCCAGACAAGACCTATCTCTAACTAGACATAAATGTGGGTAAAGATCTCTCAGCAGCTGTGAAAGACCAGAAAATGGAAAGAAATATGCCTGCAGTGTCATGTAGAGAATGTTTATTGCCGATAAATTGGTCATAAAATTGCAATTGCGTGACTTTTAAACCATATAAATAAAATCAATTAGATTGGTACTGGCACTCGTTGTAAGTATTAACAAGAAAAAATTGTGTCCAGGGACACGGATGCCCCCGCTGACATTCATAAGACATATAAAGATCAATAATTGAACAAAATTCACGAACAAGTTCAATAAACATCTATGCAACTATGACATGCACACCTTTCGAGTCTCAATGAAACACATGTATAAGCTTAATCAATTCTGTTGAGCAGTTTTTGTGGAGAATTGGATAGAGTTAATCCCCTATTTCACTATCATCAGAGAGAAATTCAGGAAAATTTATCTAAGTTCAAAATTCTCTAAACATACAACAAATTATAAAATACGAAAACAAAATATGAGATGCACACTTTTAGAGTCTCTATAAAAGAAATATGTAAGCTAAATGAGTTTTGTGCAATGGTTTTTGTGGAGATGTGGATAAAGTACACCCCCTGTTGTATGGGACGAACTGGATGAATAGAACAAAATTCAACTAAGTTCAAACATCTGTAGAAGTGACAAAATTAAGAAATTGGATGAACAAGGTATGACATGCACACCTTTAGAGTTCCAATGAAACACACGTAGAAGCTCAATCAATTCTCTTGAGCAGCTTTTGTGGAGAAGTGGATAGACTTCACCCCCTACAACACTATATTCAGAGAGAAATTCAACAAAATAGATCTAAGTTCAAACAGCATTAAAATTGGAAAAATAAATAAAATACAAAATCAAAATATGAGATGCACGCCTTTAGAGTCCCTATAAAGCACATGTGTAATCTAAAGGAATTCCATACAGTAGTTTTTGAGGAGAAGTGGATAACGTACACCCCCTGTTGGATGGAACGAACACTGGCTCAATAGAACAAAATTCAACTAAGTTCAAACATCTGTAAAAGTGACAAAATTAAGAAATTGCATAAAAAATTATGAAATGCACATCTTTAGTGTCCCTACAAAAGACATGTAGAAGTTCATTCAATTCTGTAGAGCAGTTTTTGTGGAAAGTGGATAGACTTCATCCCCTATTACACTATCACCATAGAGAAATTCAGCAAAATGTACCTAAGTTCAAATGTCTCCAAACTTACAAAAAAAACAATAAAATAAAAAACAAAATATGAGATGCACATCATTAGAGTCCCAAGAAAGCCCATGTACAGTAGAACACGGATATAACGAACTCCAAGGGACCACGAAATTTAGTTCGCTATATCCGGTGTTCGTTATTCACATTTGACCGCCATCTTGGATTGTAGAGATGTAGAGACACCGGCGGGGCCAAAATCAGTTGACACAGATTTTGCAAGAAGCGATTCGCGATTCTTAATAATGGAACTGAGAGTGGATTTTGGAATGCTAAAGACGAAAGCGATGTTGGTCTTAGATTTTACACCTGAATCTACAGCCTGAATTATCTGAAGCTTGGTGTCAAAAGTGATGGCTTTACGTTTGCCTGCCATAGTGACGAGAGTGAACGAAGACCTGTATACCAGTCAAGCTTTTAAACACGACATGTTTGTTTTGTTAAACACGTTAATGACCATCGAACAATGTTGATTCGCCGCCAACAAGGTTGATGTATACCGCTAAGTGGCTGAGCTGACACTGAGCTGACACTGAGTGAGTTTGCTAATCACGTCGTTAGTTGGGCTTGGGGGTAGTAAATCAGTTCGCTATAGCCGTTAATTCGCTACTCACGAGTTCGTTATTCGCGTATAATTTTAATGATATTATAAAGGACTGTTGACGGGACTTTTAAATTTGTTCGCTATATCCGTTTGCGCTATATCCGTGTTCGCTATATCCGTGTTCTACTGTATAAGTTGATTGAATTCCACAGAGCGGTTATGGTGGAGAAGTGGATAGAATACATTCCCTGTTTCGTACGGACGGACGGACACCGTGGGTAACCCTATATGCCCCTGCCATATATGGCGGGGCATAAAAACCAAAATGGCGGACACCGATGCAGACGCTTTTTCTCGAGTTCAAAACTCTAGAGTGAAGTCTTCCATTTGGAAACATTTTCAATTGATCTCTTGTACAATCATATCTGAGTCCCGACAGTGGCCAGTAGCATTGTTTCAAAAGAAAGGAAAGAGTAATTTCATTACCCTAACCCATGTGTTACACTTTCACAATATATTGCAATACGAAAATTTTGGCAATGCCCAACCCTAGTGTCATGTGCTACAGGCAATGCAGCAAGCATAACAGTTGCAGTGAACCATGGTCGAGTTAAGCATGTAAAATGCTTTGGTCATACTTTTAATCTGGCTTTGCACAGGGTCCTAAAACTTGACTTTGTGAAATGTCTTCTTGCTTGAATTAGACTCAGAAAGCCACAGCTCTTCCCAAATAAGGCAATTTTTATTCTGCTTCCCAAACACTCTATGATACAGGATGTACCCACACGACAGAACAGCAGCTTTGATTTGGTGGAGAGATACTTAGAAAAGCAGCGTGCCCTGAGAAGTGAGAAAATCTGGAAAAGACCAGGGTTTGAATGAGACTGACCTTTTAAATTCTGAAGATCTTCTTATTGTTCTTAAACCATTGAAAACTTTTTGCAGTTGATTTCGGCAGTTGATCCCATGTTTCAATCACTACCTCAGATTGATGAAAACAGACGACTTGCTGTATTTTCATCAATGATCACCCAGGCAGCAAATCCCTGAAAGAAATGGCAACATTTTATTTGGACTAATGTTAAATTTAACCCCAAATCACTAAATTTTCTTCTTGGTTATATCTAACTGAATGGAATTAATTCCTAAGGAAAATGAAAAAAATAAATCAGAAGCTAACTAGAATTCATTCCTTCTTCAATAATGAAAAAATATATAATCATAATTATATTGTAAGGTACAGATTAAGTGAAGAAGGAATCAGCAGAAGCCAGAGACTGGCCACCTGCTGCCCACAGGGACCCACCAGACCTTTTACATGCTGACCACAGGGACCAGCCCGACCTTTTACATGATGACCAGACCTTTTACATGATGACCACAGGAACAAGCCAGACCTTTTACATGAAAACCATGACCACAGGAACAAACCAGACCTTTTACATGCTGACCACAGGGACCAGCCAGACCTTTTACATGCTGACCACAGGGACCAGCCAGACCTTTTACATGATGACCACAGGGACCAGCCAGACCTTTTACATGATGACCACAGGGATCAGCCTGACCTTTTACATGATGACCACAGGGACCAGCCAGACCTTTTACATGATGACCACAGGGACCAGCCAGACCTTTTACATGCTGACCACAGGGACCAGCCAGACCTTTTACATGATGACCACAGGGACCAGCCTGACCTTTTACATGATGACCACAGGAACCAGCCAGACCTTTTACATGATGACCACAGGGACCAGCCAGACCTTTACATGCTGACCACAGGGACCAGCCAGACCTTTTACATGATGACCACAGGGACCAGCCAGACCTTTTACATGATGACCACAGGAACCAGCCAGACCTTTTACATGATGACCACAGGGACCAGCCAGACCTTTTACATGATGACCACAGGAACAAACCAGACCTTTTACATGATGACCACAGGGACTAGCCAGACCTTTTACATGATGACCACAGGGAGCAGCCTGACCTTTTACATGATGACCACAGGGACCAGCCTGACCTTTTACATGATAACCACAGGGACCAGCCAGACCTTTTACATGATGACCACAGGAACCAGCCAGACTTACCACCTGCTGCCCACAGGGACCAGCCCGACCTTTTACATGCTGACCACAGGAACCACCCAGACCTTTTACATGATGACCACAGGGACCAGCCAGACCTTTTACATGATGACCACAGGGACCAGCCAGACCTTTTACATGATGACCACAGGGACCAGCCAGACCTTTTACATGATGACCACAGGGACCAGCCAGACCTTTTACATGATGACCACAGGGACCAGCCAGACCTTTTACATGCTGACCACAGGGACCAGCCAGACCTTTTACATGATGACCACAGGGACCAGCCAGACCTTTTACATACTGACCACAGGGACCAGCCCGACCTTTTACATGATGACCACAGGGACCAGCCAGACTTGCCACCTGCTGCCAACCGTGACCAGCCAGACTTGCCACCTGCTGACCACAGGGAAAAGCCAGACCTTTTACATGCTGCCCACAGGGACCAGCCAGACCTGTTACCTGCTGCCAACAGTGACCAGCCAGACTTGCCACCTGCTGACCACAGAGAAAAACAAGACCTTTTACATGCTGACCACAGGAACCAGCCAGACTTGCCACCTGCTGACCACAGAGAAAAACCAGACCTTTTACATGCTGACCGCAGCGACCAGTCAGACTTGACACCTGCTAACCACAGTGACCAGCCAGAACTTTTACATGCTGACCATTGGAACCAGCCAGACTTGCCACCCGCTTCCCACAGTGACCAGTTAGACCTTTTACATGCCGACCACAGGGACCAGCCAGACTTGCCTCCTCCTAACCACTTCCATGCCGACCACAGGGACCAACCAGACTTGCCACCTGCTGCCCACAGTGACCAGCCAGACTTCCAACTGCTGTCCACAGTGACCAGCCAGACTTCCAACTGCTGTCCACAGTGACCAGCCAGACTTCCAACTGCTGTCCACAGTGACCAGCCAGACTTCCAACTGCTGTCCACAGTGACCAGCCAGACTTCCAACTGCTGTCCACAGTGACCAGCCAGACTTCCAACTGCTGCCCACAGTGACCAGTCAGACCTTTCACCTGCTGCCCACAAGGACCCGACAGACTTGCCACCGGCTGACCACTTGGACCAACCTGACTTGCCACCTGCTGCCCAGTGACCAGCCAGACTTGCCACCTCCTGCCCACAGTGATGTCATTAAATCACTTACTATGTTTAACAATAAAAAACATCTGTTAGATTACTCAAAAACAATAATAAATGACAGGGACGTCATTTGCATGAAGGGGGAAATATGTCGCCCCAGTGCAAGGTAGCTGTACGTCAGTACATGTAAGCAGATATTGTGATGAGGTGAACTGTTTACAGACTATCATGACTGTGGTTTTGCCCCAAGTGAACTTTTGAAATCAAGGACACTGTGTCTTCAATCCTTCAACATGTGTGATGTCATTTTGATTAACTTTTGTATATGTGCTATCTGATAATTCATAACATGTAAACTTTATTTTTTAACAGGAGTGCTCTATAGTTGGTACTTGCTTTGTGTTAGTTAGTAAGTTAGTTAGTTAGTTAGTTAGTTAGTGACAGGAAGGGAGATGCAGACTTTGATCAGTGGATGCATGAGTACACAAGAATGTGTTCCCACTACTCTATGGACATTGTTCTGAAAGCAGACAATCCCTTCTTGGCATGACTACCAGAGTTGCCATGCAAGTTGACAATGATGTTCCACTAGATGCTCACATGAACAAGCTCAACAGTGCATTTGGCAATATACATACAGAGCATAACATCATGGCACAGTTCTACACAGACAAGCAAGGAAACGAGGAAACTGTAGCTGAGTGGTCATGTCGCCTTGAGGACATTCTCAGCCAAGGAGTTATACTTGGTACGGTTCATCCTGGCAACACAGCAGAGAATCTCAGGGACACCCTGTGGACTGGTCTTTGAGCTAATCTGAAAAACTTTCCAGCCATAAAATGGACCAGTTCCTCAGGTGTCGCCCATCAAGTTGAAGACTGTCTGCTGAAGAGAAACTCAACGCCCAAGAAGATGTATGCCACCAATAAAACCACTGTCAATACAGATAACACTGAGCTCAAAGACCTAAAGGGTCTGTTAAAATCCATATCTGCAGAAGTAGCAACCCTCAAGGCACAAGTAGGCAAAACCAACAGGTGAGGATATGACCATAGTCAGGATCAGCCATCTTCAGGTCAAGGACAAGGTCAACAATGGCAGATGCCCCTAAAGCATTTGTCATGACCTCCATGGGCCAGAAGCCAACCCTTTGGACGACCCCTTATCCGAGGGACCCAAGCCTCATTCCATAGACCAAAGATCCAACATCCAAAGATGTTATAGATGTGGACAACCCTGACATATTCAGAGAGGACATATTCAGAGGGGATGCAGAGCAGTCATCGATAGAGACTCTAACTACTACAGAGGGGCGGACCATATCTAGACAAAAACAAGTATCTTAAATAATTGTTGGCATGTAAATCAAAATACATGATTATGAACCTCAAGTTTTCATTGAGATTTATGTAAACGCAAAAAATAACAAACAAATAAGAGAACTATCTTTTCAACATAAGGTCAAAACAAATAGAATTCTCAATTATTTTTTTTCCCTTGCTTACTTCCCCTTACAATGATACCATGTAAATATTGATGAAGCGATACATTTTTCAGTCTTTTTGATGAGATTTTTAATAAAAACTATGGGTGACTTATTTTCAGTAATGGTGACATTTGGTCTCTTCTTTTTATTGAACAGATGACACATGTTCATAGACAACTGCTGTCACAGGCCAGTGCCCATCTGGTTGATCTGAACAATGCAACCACTGGCTGGGGTAACCTAACACTGTGAAAAGCCTGAATGTGAACTGTCCATACCAGTTGGAGAAAACATTTGAAAAACTTATTTGTGATAGACATGTATGAGTTTGTTTTGAATTATCATGGCATTATTTAGTTTAGAATAAAAAACAAACAGAATAAAGAATGAGAGGAACATATACAAGTGTTGGGAAGTGTTTGTACAGTACAATGGAATTAGGACTGCAACAGCATGGGGAAGACAGTTAACTACAGATTGCTTAAGATCAGATAGAAACGTTAACACGTGAAGCTTGCAGTATGAATCAGATATTTATCATTAATGATCAAATGTTGTGTGGTTGTGTCAATCATGGCATCACTCCCAACCGGAACTTTTACAATTTCTTTGAATTCACCAAATCATTGTTATGTACCTTTTTTCATTCGTTACCATTCACTTCCCATACATATCATAAAAATACACGGAGTAAATGTACACAACAAATAGATGAAAGGATCTCTCAGAATAAATGAAATTGCCAACAAAATGCTACAATATGTAATATCTGAATTTTTCTTAGTTTACTTTTGAATAAAGTTTTCTGAGCACAGCAATCATTCTCACACCTAATATATTTTGCTTGATTTCATCCAAACACTTTCTATTGATGGCAAAGACCATTATTATTTGTACATATTTTCCAAACCATTCTACACAAGTCTAAAGTGACAGTGGATGGTGTAGCAGGGTAAGGGGTGGTACTTTTCAAATGATGACCAACGCCTGCTGGTGTGTAAGTTGTGACTTGTGCCACTAGTTTATTGCTCAAATATGTATTTTGTTTTCCACCCTGTAACATAATAATAAACTATCAATAAAAACGTCTTATCACATCTAAACTACAGTAGTCTAGGACATTGCACATTATAATTACTGATAATAATGATCAGTCATAGTATATTATTGTCACAGTATACTTAATGTACTTATACTTCCACAAAAGAAAAGGATGATATAAATTGCACAAAAACTTGAAATATATTTGAATAAAAATATCACAATTATAATCAAGTTACAAAATACGGTAAGAGTTTCTAAATACGTACTCCCCACCTAATTTTTAACTGTAAACTATAGACTGAACTATAGTGTTTGCTCATCACAAAAATAGGCCGGGGGTACGTAAGGAACGCTTTCCGAAAATACATAATTCTCCACACATATTTGTGGTAATAATACATGAAATATAAACACACTAAAAGGATAAAATACCTACCAAATATATGGTACTCAGGTGACAGTGAGCAACGTCTACCTTACATTAGCATCAAACGGCATGTCCTATCTATAAGTAATGACATACCTTTAAGTGTATTATGCTAACTTATCATGATAAAAGATATATCACGTTCTAAGACTAAATAAATGCTGAAATAGCTATCATAACATAATGATAAACAAACCTGCATGATTATATATATATATACCTTACCAGTACAACATTATGTGTACTGTGATATTCTTACAAATATATACAACAAACAGTTATTAAAATAATATAATATCTCAAGTGTCACAGACATTACATGTACCATCAAGTAGACAACATGGCCGCTAAGCAGGCACACATGCTTGTGTCACCTGACCTCACAAAATGTTACTCACAAAAGCAGTAAACATTAAAATCATGCCTATAAACACACATTATTTGACTTACACTATTCTTAAAATACATTCATGCCTTCACATCACACAATATTATAACCTAAGTAAGAATAATGTTTATAACTATACTTAACAAATACTAGATCCTACATAATATGTTTATAATTAAGTTAACTGACCTTGAATAGAGTGTGGTTGCAGCCCCAAAAGAGGAAAAATCAGACGTCCGTCAAAATGTCATATATTCAAGGTGCCAAGACTTGTGCAGCTGTAGGAGGTAGACTAATTAAAATGTGCTGATGTTAGTAAAAAGAAAACAGACAACATTAAATTGACCAATCAGAGATCAAGGAATAGCTTGCCCTCTGAGTTAAGAACAAAAGGACACCCTGTTCTCCCACAATAATAAAACAGAGCCAAGGTCCAGCTTGGGGTAATCAAGCTGGGGTCAAATACCAAACATACTCTTATAAAAACCTAATCCAATAAAGCTATCACAACCAAACTGTTTAAAGATGATACTGTATTTACACAAATAAATAAATAAAATGTAAAAATATGACACTGCCACACATTTCCCCCCTACGACAAATGTAGCTATGATAAAACTAAGGTAGTCTGCCCTTGGAATCCAGTCCGGCTTTGGTGTTGTCATTGCTGCCATCACATATTTACCACTAGTCTGCCACAATGGTTCCTGCCGTTCCCTCTGTGACCTTCTTAGTGGTGGGGTAGGTAGCATTCTCCGCCGAGGTCTATCTTCGGGTGTGGTCCTTGTTGGTGGTGGCTCAGGAGTTTCTACTTCCGTCTGCCCATCCTCTTGTGCAGAAGCATGAACATCCTCTGGTAAGTTGACAGGTGATACAGATGATCCCAACTTCTATCTGCATGTCTTCTGGTGCAGAAACTGCTTCGCCACCTGGCATATCTCTAGCTTCATCTCCATCAACATCTGTGGCTCTGTCACAACTTCAGCCTCACTCACCAGCTGAAACTGAGGGTTCTAATTAGGTCATGGGCACAAAACAAATATCATCTCCTGAATCAGCCTCTTGATCCTGACAAAAATCCTCTTGTTCCTGGGTTGATGATCCAGATGGAGCAATTGGCGTCTTGGATTTCTGAGGCCTTGGAATTGGGACAGGTGAACCTGGGACTGCTTATGACAGAGATTCTATTGGAAAAAATAAATTCCTGTGGAGGGTCCTACTTTTCCTGTCGTCTCTCTCCTTCCCTACTACAAACACAGGTATCGCAGGATCAGGCTGATGAAGAATGACATATACATCCCTTTTCCCACAGCGATCTTGTGTTTCCCATCAAATGCGACGATCTTAACAAGCACCCGATCTTTAATGTCCAACATGGCAGCTCAGGCTTTGATGTCATAGTTAGCCTTCTGTCTTGCTTGGTAGCTTCAGCAGCAAGTTCAT